GGCGGGGAGGGGCGGGGCGGGGCCGAGTGCCCTGGCCGGCGTGCTTGCGTCCCCCAGCTGGCGCGGTTGCTGTTCCGTCCCGCAGGGATTCTGCCGTTCGGTTGACCTCCGGTTTCTCTCGGCCACGTGTAATCTGTTGAAGCCATCCGTTGGGCTTCTAATTTCATGACTCTAGCTTTTTGGGTTTTTTTTTTGGCGGCTAGCTGGTGCTTTCACTTATCTCTTTAAGGTCTTTTTTCTTTTTTAAAAAAAATCTCATAATTACGATATCTGCAGCCTTTGCAGGCCTGCTTCTGCAGTCTGTCATTTCGGTTGACCCTTGCGCAGGCTCTCCTCTCCCTGGTTCTCAGCTAGTGTTCCTTGGGACATTATATGTGGAGACACTTTGAGGCCCGAATTTAAAATAAGTTGCCCCAGGACGTTTGCGTTTTCTCTCACTCGGCACCTGGGGAGACCGTGAACCCAAGACGTTAAGCTTCCAGTTTGGGGGCTTCACAGGTATTGTGAATTCCTATCAAAACTCCATTACTGATTGCTTAATGCTAATAGAAATGGTTTCTTACCCCTGCCTTTCACCTACCGGAATGCTTCAAGGTCAGTTCAGATCCTCAGACTGCATCAAAGCAATGAACTCTCCTGTTGTTGATGCCCTAAATATATTGTATTTTTCACAATTTCCCTTGTCAGCACCACGCTCAGCCAGTGAGCAAACCGGCCATCCCTATATAGGATCCGAACCCACGGCCTTGGCACAATTTCCCTTGCAACATAATTGGCTGTATATAAATAGTATGAAGTTTCAGTCTCAGATTCAACTGCCTGGGTTTTGATCCTAGTTAAGTGACTTAAATTCCCAAGTCTCCGTTTCCAAGCTTGCAAAACGGAGCCTAAAATATTACCATCTAATTGAGCTAACATATGAAAGGGTTATATAACACCATCTCTACAAATAGTACATACAATAAATGTTATGTGAACTTCTTTTATATTGTCAAAATGATGAGGCAGGACAAACGGATGGAATGTCTAATTCTTCCTGGTCAACAAGTTACAGAGCAAGCTTGTGTTTGGGGGGATCTTTCAGGCTTCTGTTTTAGGCCTTTTACAGAAATTTGACCCCTTTGAATTCCTAAACTAGCACACTATAGTTGGGGCAGCCCCCACTACCAACTGTCTTGGCCATCAACCTTACACTTGATCTTAACCAAAAGGCTGAGAAGCAATTGGCCATCCACTTTAATTTTTATTACTAACGTGATTGGGCAGATCTGTTACTTGAAATTGGTTAGAACAAAATGAAATTTTAAAAAGATGACATGCTGGATAATTCCTCATGCTTACTAAATAGTACTGGGTGGAGAATACTAACATTAATAAAACAAATGTATTTCACAGGACCTAACTTTTAAAAATTACACATAGAAATGTTAAGCTTGCAAAAGACAGGAAATTTTCCCCAGGCTAAAGTCCCTGTTGTACATAAAGAATTGTAACACAGCAAAATTGCTGGCTCAAAGGGCAGATGTCCTTGGTGCAGGTTAACCTACTGACTGATGTTGAGAAAGTTACTTTATTGTTATGTAAATATACTGAGGAAATTGCTGTAGGAAAAGAAAATGTTTGCAAGGATCGACTTAACCTTTTACAAATTGCATTAGGGAATGTTACTTTATTTCACTGATGTTACTAGTTTCCATTGTTAAAACTATACTTAGCGGGCCGGCCCAGTGGTGCACTCGGTAGAGTGCGGTGGCTCTCCCGCCGAGGGTTCGGATCCCATATAGAGACCGGTCCGCTCACTGGTTGAGCGCGGTGCGGGCACGACACCGAGGGTTGTGACCCCGTTACCGGTCACGAAAAAAAACAAAAAGGAAAACAAAACCAAAAACAAAAAAAAACTATACTTAGCCATAACTCTGCCCGTGTCCTTGTGTTCTTTGTAATAATTAAATCAACTGAATTTTCTTGTGAAACTTCCTTGTCTTTACAATAAAAGGGAGAAGCTAACTTTGAATCAGGGCTGTCACATTCAGCTTTCTCTCCTAACAGGAGAGTGCTGAAAGGCAGTCACTTCGGGGCTTCTCACTGCTCAGAAGAAATGGGCTTTGAGTAATCCTTTGCGTCTGTCACCCGTGGTACTGTAGGACTGGTCTGCTCCTGAAAGCTGAAGCTAACTAAATTAGAACTTACTCTAATAGAGAAGAGCAGACTTCCTTTCAGATTTGGAAAGACTGAGGAATAACTTTTTTTTTTCCTCATGAATAGGCCTTAAAATGTAAAATGGCACAAGTTTCAAAAGTTCTACTTTAATTTCTAAGTATCTGCACCTGATGCCTGCTAAAAAAAGTTGCCTCGGGGCCAGCAGGCGCACTGGATAGTGCGCCACTTGGGAAGCGCGGCGGTGCTCCCGCCCGAGGGTTCGGATCCCACATACAGACCGGTTCCCGCTCACTGGTTGAGCGAGGCGCGGGAGCAACACCGAGGGTTGCGATCCCGTTGCCGGTCCCCGGTCCAGTACGGAGGCAACACTGAGGGTTGCGATCCGTTGCTGGACACTGAAAAAGACAAAAAAAAAAAAAAAGTTGCCTAGGTCCCTGCAATTTCTTCAAGTTGAATTTTATTTTATTTTTTATTCTTTGGGCACTGGCTGCTAAGGGAATCACAACCCTTGACTTTGGTGTTATCAGCACCGTGCTCTAACCAACTGAGTTAACTGGCCAGTCCTCAAGTTGAATTTTAGCTAGCATCTTTAGAGTCACACGTAAAACAAATATTTCACTAATGATCTCCAAGAATGCTAAGAATCAAGACCGAGTTCAAAAGAAACAAACCAGCTAACACAGGAAGAGGCATATACGTGTTTCCTAAGTCTGAGCCACTGAGGTGCATCACAAAGAATAGGGTGAGTTATACTAGGTCAGAAGTGCCAGTGTATTTCTGGACAAGGCACAGGACTTGATGTGGCAACCCTCTGATGTTTGCCCACGCCCTCACCCTAACTTAGGTGGAGCCATCATGGTTCTTCCACACTCAGCTGGCCTCTGGGGACAGGCTGAGTTGTGGCTCTCTAAGATCTTAGTGCTTGCCTGCAGCTCGAGCAGCTGCTACAAATAGGTCTTTTAACGTTGTCATGCCTAGCCCATTCTTGGAACTTGCTCTACACTCCAAAGTGTTTGTGGGTGAACATGTGAAGGTGGTGTTTAAGGTACCCATGTTGGTCTTATTTCTGAAGCCCTGATCCAGCAGGCAGGAGTGGTGCATCGGCAGTCTGAGAGTTTTCATCACCCTAAATCCACACAATGCATATAAGGATATTAAGTTTGCTTGTGGGATAGATGAAAATAGCTAATACATCAGGAGGAAAGACATCCAATTTGTGCTTTCTCTATGGGACTTCAATCTGACAAACCCTAACAGCTCAGCACCTCATCTACACATTACCAGGCTTGTCACTGGAGAGTTTCAAAGCCAAGTCAGAAGCACATTAAGCACCGTAAGTTCTTTAGTATAAATGGTGTAAAAGAAAAAGGAATCATCATCTAATTTACAGAAATTGAAAACTACCACTGGCATACTCCTCACTCGTTCTCCTTAAAGCTTTAAGACTAACTTGGGAATCCTCTGGCTAGATGCAAAAAAAAAAAAAAAAGGTGAACCACTTTCCCAGTGAAAAGCAGCTGTGGAGGTTATGAGGGCAGCAGCAGTGGTCAGGCATTCCATCTGGAGAACGGACTGCTGAGGAAAGCACATGGACACAACTAACAGGCAAAGACTCTGAGGACATAATTACTAAATTTAATTCAACTGTTATACCCAGTTCTGCCTTGGAAAAATAACAAAACGTTCCTATCAAAATTACATTGTGACGTATTTTGTTTTGAAACAGCTCTAGAAAATGTTGGCACCAAATGCACTTAAAAAAAGTTTTAAGGCTTAATAAAAATAGACTAGTAAATTTCCAATGCAGCTTAGAGGTTGAGAAAAGGATACTAAGTGTTTCTTAACCTTCTAAATACAAGCAGTCCCCAATGTATAGCACATCTTCCAAATGCAAATGACAACCATGCCCATGGGGCTCACTAGGAGACCAGACCACCCAGGCACTCTAAACTCAGCCTGAAGCCTCACAGAGGGGAAAGGGGAAAGGTCGGGAGAAGAGTAGGTGGCAAGTTTTGTCACTGCTGCCCAGGGGCTACTGCTGTAGTTCAGGTTTTCCTCATTACTGAGACCACTGTTCCCATCTCTGGTTTCTCCCATCTCCATCCAGAATCCTCAGTGGACAGAGCTAGAGTGCTATTCCTCTCATCTGACTGAGAGAAGGGGCTGCGGGAGGGTTACAGGGGCAGCATGGTAATGTCAGGCTTCTTTCTGGCAATCCAACTTGGAATTCAAAAATCATTTCCTTATTAAAAATAGTTATTAATGGCAATTCATTTCTACCATTACACAATTTCCTTGTAAGTTAAATAAGTGAGTATGTTTAGGTTTAAAAAGCTAACCACCGTTTATGATGTTTTTTAACGGGCAAAAAATAATTTCCTGAATTCCAAACTTTCTTATAAACTTTGAACCACAAACTATTTAAAGTATGTACAGTCCCATGGAATGTGTTTTTTGGCTCCAAAATCCACAAGGAAGTTGACAGGGGGAAACTGTCTTTGGTCGACAAAGCCACGTGCAGACCCCTCAATGTGCCAAGCACAGGAAGCAGGGCATGGAAGGTAGCTCAGCAGGCACTTATGCAGCTAGTTGATAAAGTCAGAGTGAGACTTGCTTTTTAAATTTCCACAGTTATGTTTCTAGCACCTGGTGTTAGCTGTGCAGGCATTCAGAGCAACAGCTACCATACTCAGACTCTCTCCTGTTAGCAGATGTCCACCACAAGGAAAGCACGGGAATAGAGACTACAGCCCCATTGGGTGACTGGGAGGGACTTGTGCCCAACAGATAAAAGCAACATGACTCTTGCCAGCCCATTATCTTTGTTGGCAAATATCATGGAATTGGAGAGTTGTGACTTTGCAGCCAAACTACTTAATTTCCTGGCCTAAGGTCTAGTCTCTTCCAGAAGGCTGTTTATGAATGTGATCCAGAGGTTCTACGAAGCTTTATAAAAGATGGCCTAAGCAGCTCTTTTTCCTCTTTGGTGTACCTGAGCAACTGACTTTTTTCTGGAAAGGTGTCAATCATTTATGGGAAGCTGGTATTTAAAATTAACTTTGAGACATTAAAGAACCCAAATCTAAGAACTCAAGGTTCTAAAGCATCTCTGCTTCCCACCAACATCAGAGGAATAACGTAAGACATAGGACAAACTTAACTAAGACCATTACTTGGATATATATGAATAGACTTTGGAAGTCTTGCAGAGTCAGTGGCCTTATTTACAGGAAGAACCGTGGCTTGTGAAGGGATCTACCTGCATCACTGGTGAAGAACAACGGCCTAGACTTAAGGCTGATGAGAGGAAAAAAGGAACAATTCACAAGCAAAACTGGCAGGTGAAGGGCGCAGACCAGTCCCTCATGAGAGAGAGGCAGATTCCTACATGAGACCTGGCCAAGGACTTAGATGGCAGAAACTGGGCACCTCAGAGGATCAGGGTACAAAACCTTCTATAAAGCAGAAGACTGAGAGGACTTTTTGGTTTTTCTTGAAAGCTGCCAAGGAAAAGCAATCAAGATCTTTTAAGAAAAAACTAAAGAACAATATATTGGGGGTAAAATGAAAAAGAGACGCTGGGGTTTAACAGTGGTAATCTCAGGCATGGAAAACGTTTTGGTGAAGGGTCAACGGCATTATTTTTAAAGGGGGATGTTTTACCTTACACCCTGTTAGTGTTTCTGCCTATGCCGTGCTCCTCCATCCCTCAGCAACGGACAGGTTGTTTTGGTTTTCTGTCAGTCATTCCTAGGTGCCCTATTAGCTGGCAGACTGCTGAGGCACAAACACGGAAGACCCCACCTCACTAAGCCTCCCTGTGTCCTGCACCACCTCCCCGCCCTTGCCCACTTGTGTTCCTCTCACAGCTGAGCAAACACCAGGGGAGTCACACCCTATCCCAAGGATGTGTCTCTCGGCAGTCTGGAAGGCTTGGCCCTCTGTGCAGCCAGCCTCATACATGCGACAAACCCTCTCCCCACCCCACTCATTTGGGCTAAAAAAAAAACAAACAAAAACGATGCTATTCGACACCCTCTCTCTCGAGTTTCTTGTCTGGCTATGGGGGAAGCAGTAGCTTCTTTTAGTAGAAGGAGATGCTGGATTTGCCTCCTGGAGGGTTCAGGACTTTGTTGTGAGAGCGAGGCCGTGGCCCCAACCTGGGCTCATGGCTGTCAACCCTGAGCACGGGCTCTTGCTCCTTGGCACGGTCTGCTTCTCTTGAGTTGCCTTTCTCAAGTGGCTCTTCTCTGGGTGCAGCTGTGGGACAAAGCACACCACCCATTAGAGGCAACCCACTGTCCTGACAGGCAAGCTGCACCAATGGAAAGTCTGTCACAGAGCAACTTGCAAGAGGTTCATGCTGTAACTGGAAAAGAGAAGAAACAAAGCCAGGCTTCGCACCTCGTACCAGGACAATTCACTGGAATTAGCAGATGCAGTTCTCAACCTGACCGTAAAGTTGGGGCTTACTACTGTAAATGCTCCCTGATTTCTTTCTAAGTAAGTTATTTCTTCATATTGCTTGTTAGACTCCATTCCCATTTCTTCCACCTCAAGTATAAAAAGTGAACTTTCTCAGAGTGAGTGTGAAGAGGAGAGGGAGCTCACCCTAACTAGATGGTCTAACAAGGATTTCCGTCACTACGGCTCTGGGCCTCGTGAAGGAGGAATGACAAACGCTCATGTAGCTCTACAGTCGAGGGAAATAGTGAGCAGGAGGCAGAAATCAATGCCTAGTCAAGCTAGAGAACAGCAGTGAGACTTGGAGCGAGTCTGAGCTCCCACACGACAACACAGCAGCTCATTCCTGGGTGACTGACACAGGGTGACCCCCTCTCCCCACCACACATGTGCCTCGCATTCCTCCTCCTTCATGCCCTTATCCTGAATTACTTCTGTCGGGTCTTTCCTTGTTCATGCGTTCATTAAAAGTTCCCTGCCCTTCACTACACAGATCAGCTTCTAGAAAAACGAAACCTTGGTCTTAGGCCTAGGCTGATCAGCGATGAGAAGAAAGGAAGAAAATCTAGTGGTTTTCACCAGAAATAACTAAGCCCACTTCCCCAGCCTTTTTCAAATACTAAATCCTCTCAGCAATAAACACGCCAGCGTTTGTTTCAGCCAGCTGACCTGGAAGGTGCAGAGGAACACTCCCTTTCATTCTTTGGGGGGGGGCACACCAGCAACTCTTCCAAAAGAGGCCACTTAGCAGAAGGACAGAAAACAAAAGCTCACCTTTAAGATCTGATTTTGAGTCTTCTTCACATAAGAAAACGTGATCCTGAAAAAAGGAAAACAATCGTGTGAATACTTGATTCAGAACCATTCTATCCTCATTCAGATGAACAATGAAAACCAGGGCATCAATTACTTTGGTTTTGTTTTTGACATAAACCCCCACATAGCCCACTGTACAGCTACAGTGACATCAACTCACTGCCATCCCTGTCTCAGTCACACCATTCTTGCAACCTCAGACCCAAGGCCCGCTATTGGATTATTCTGAAGCAAATCCCAGATATTTCATTTACTCATAAATATTTCAAGATGCGGCTCCTAAAAGTGTCCTAAAAAAAAACCCAAAAAACCATAACACCATTCTCAACACTGCACATATTAATGATTTGCTAAACATCAAACGCTTATTAGTCAAGTTTTTAAACATTAGCATAATGTTTTCAAGGCAGAGAGTGTGTCAGTGCTTCATTCCTTTTTATGGCCGAGTAATATTCCACTGTATGGATGGACCAGCTTTTTTATCCAATCTTCCATTAATGGATACTTGGGCTGCTTCCACCTTTTGGCTATTATGAATAGTGCTGCTATGAAAACAGGTGTGGAAATATTTATTTGAATCTGTTTTCAAATCTTTGGTGAGTATACCTGAGAGTGGAAATGCTGGATCATACAATAATTCTATGTTTAACTTTTTTATTTTGGGGGCAGCTGGCAGGTATGGGGATCCAAACCCTTGACATTGGTGTTATAACACTAAGCTCTGTTTAACTTTTTGAGGAACCATCAAACTGTTCCACAACCACTGCATCATTTTCATTCCCATTAGCATTGGGTGAGGGTTCCAAGTTATCCATATCCTCGCCATTTATTCTCCATTTTTATATCACAGCCATCCAAGTAGGTGTCAAGTGGTATCTTGTTGTGGTTTTGATTTGTATTTCCAAATGACCAATGATGTTACGCATCTTTTCATATGCTTATTGGCCATTTGTATAACTTCTCTGGAGAAATGCCTAGGCAAGTCCATTGCCATTTTTGAATTAGGTTGTCATTTTTTTCTTTTTAAAAAAAGATGACCACTAAGGGGATCTCAACCCTTGGCTTGGTGTTGTCAACACCATGCTCAGCCAGTGAGCCAATCGGCCATGCCTATATAGGATCCGAACCCGTGGCCTTGGTGTTATCAGCACCGCACTCTCCCGAGTGAGCCATGGGCCGGCCCGTCACTTTGTTTTTGAGTTGAAGGTATTCTTCATATCTTCTGAATAGTAAACACTTATCAGATATATGATTTGCAAGTATTTTCTCCCATTTTGTGGGGTGTCTTTCTACTTTGTTGACAGTGTCCTTTGATGCACGTAAGTTTTTTTTTTTTTTTTAAAGATGACAGGTAAGGGGATCTTAACTATTGACTTGGTGTCAGCACCACGCTCTCCCAAGTGAGCTAACCAGCCATCCCTATATAGGACCCGAACCCATGGCCTTGGTGTTATCAGCACTGCACTCTCCCAAGTGGATGCACATAAGTATTTTAACGAAGCTCAATTTATTTATTTTTAATTTTGTTACCTGTGTTTGGTGTCATATTTAAGAAACCAATGCCAAATCCAAGATCATGAAGATCTGTCCCTGTATTTTCTCCTAAGAATTGCATAGTTTCAGCTCTTAACTTCAGGTTTTTGATCCACTTTAAGTTCATTCTTGTATATGGTTTAAGGTAAGGGTCCAACTTTACACTTTTTTTGATGTGCAACAACTGTTTTGGATGTGCAAACCCAATTTTACCAACAGCATTTGTTGAAAGAACTTCTTTTCCCATTGGATGGTCTTGGCACCCTTGTGGGAAAACATCAATTAACCACAGATGTGAGGGTTTACTTCTTGGTTCTTAATTCTTTTCCACTTGTTTGTATATGTGTCCTTATGCCAGCATCATGTTGTTTGATTACTGTTGTTCTGTAGTAAGATTTAAGATTGGAAAGTGTTGGCTGGCCCATGGTTCACTTGGGAGAGCGAGGTGCTAATAACACCAAGTCAAGGGTTAAGATCCCCTTACCGGTCATCTTTCAAAAAAAAAAAGAAATTGGAAAGGGTGAACCTCCAGTGTTTCTTTTTCAAGATTGTTTTGGGGGCCGGCCTGTGGCTCACTCGGTAGAGTGCGGTGCTGATAACACCAAGGCCACGGGTTCGGATCCCATATAGGGATGGCCGGTTCACTCACTGGCTGAGCGTGGTGCTGACAACACCAAGTCGAGGGTTAAGATCCCCTTACCGGTCATCTTTAAAAAAAAAAAAAAAAAAAAAAAAGATTGTTTTGGCTATGTGGGGTCCTTTGAAACTGCATCTGAATTTTAGGATGGGTTTTTTCCATTTTTGCAAAGGACACTATTGGGACTTTGACAGGAATAAGTCTCCTTAATCTCTAGGGTCTACCCCTTATTATTCGTCATATAATTTCCTATATGTTGCATTATTCTCAGTGCAACCCTGTGGTGTCAATTAATATGTGGTTTGGTCTAATTTGGACTTGATTTTTTGACAAGATGACTTCAAAGGTGGTCCATAGTGGACTTCCATCATGAGGCTCATAACTGTTGGTTGTCTCACTTTGTGACGTCAGCAGCCATTGTTGATCATTATCTGGATCCATGATTTCATTACAAGTTTACAAAATGGTGATATTCTAATGCCATTCCTCATTCTTCATTTACAGCCTGGAGTACTTTTATAAAAGGGAACATTCCCTCAACAACTAATATCCTGACACACACTTCATGCAGGAAGCGCTGGTTAAATGCTCCATTCTGTCCCTCACTAGTTTCATAATAATGGGTTGATCTTCTGGTATTCTTCAAAGGTCGCCAATTAGATTATTTTAGTATTATTAAGAACCCATGCATTCTAAATAGTGAATTTTAATCACGGCAATTATTGTACTTATTGGTGACCAAATGTCCCCCCTCTGGCCCATGGTTCCTCTTGCATTGGTTCCAAGCCCTATGACACCACCCAACAGTCTCCTGGCTTCCTGGTATTGAGAAATTGTACATCCCCTGACCTTGACCTGGTATTGGTCGTTTCTCCAGTCAGGCTGGAGATGTCCAATCCTCCTGGGTCAAAAGACTTTCATGCCTAATAAATCAAAGGAAGCACTTCTGCTTTCTCTTGTTCTATACCCAGTTACACTAAGGGCCACAATCCACATTCACTAGAGAGTGAGAATTATGGCAAGAGGCAGCTTCCTCCTGTCTTGGCTAATTCAAGTCCTTCTCTTAGTGTAGAATTGCTAACTTTTAGGATATTTCTGGTCTAACCACAGTAGCAGAGCCCTCAAAGATATTTTCCAAAGAGATGCTCTCTTTGGAGCATCACAGTCTAGCAACAATTTGGAGGTTCACGTCTTGCTACTATGAGACTCTAAACTGGAAAGAGAGACGTCACTGCAGAGATGCCAGCACAGGAGAGACACAGAGCAATCCAGACCAGCCTGGCTCTCTCACCTGTTTGTGTTTTCTCCTTGTCTCAGCCCTTTTTAAGTTTGCATTTCAATTCTGCAATAGGCATCTTCTGGGATGTAAACTGACAGAAATGCAGTGATTTTTCCAGGCATAACAAGCTCCAGAAATGGTTAAGAATTTTCTGCTTTAGGGAACACCTAAGAAGTACACCTCAGAAGTGTCCTGCCACCACTCGAACAAACAAGCATTCAAGCTCAGGTAATACAGCTCTCTTCCTCAGCCCAGGGAGATCATACGGATCTCATCAATACTTCCTAAGGCCACATCCAAAATCACATCGTTCAGTGGCTTTGGGCCAGCACTGTGAGGCAACTCTGCTCATTTTATTCCAATTGTGCCGCTACTGTTCAGAGGTGTCAGCTATGCTTTAGCCCAGCACCATGAATCTGCACAGGTAACACGTATGAGGACCTCAGCCTCATGAGGGGGAAACGCCCCTCAAAAGCCACCATTTTTCCTTCCCAAAATGAGATAAGAATAGTGAAAAATTTATGAGGGATAGACTTCTCTGTTACATGTTCAATTTTATAAATATTCTTGCCACTCCCCAGTGCTGTGCAGGAAGAGCAGTAGCAGCCTGCCTGCAGCCTGCAGTGGGCACCCGCCACTACCTGTATACCAGGAGAGTCACTTGCCCAGGGCTGCAGTCATCATAAGGGTGGAAAGTGTTTCTTCAGTGACTCAAGTGAGCTTCCAAACTCAATGACTAATGACTGCACCTAGGAAAATCAACGTCATCCCCCTTGTCTTTTCTTTTCTTTTTTTTTTTTCCTTTTTGTCTTTTTTACTGACCGGTAATGGGATCACAACCCTCGGTGCTGCGCCTGCACCGCGCTCAGCCAGTGAGCGGGAACCGGTCTCCACATGGGATCCGAACCGCAGAGGGAGTGCCGCCACGCTCCCAAGCGGCGCACTCTCCAGTGCGCCACCGGGCCAGCCCCCCCTTGTCTTTTCTTTTCTTTTTTTTTTATCCTTTTTGTCTTTTTTACTGACCGGTAATGGGATCACAACCCTCGGTGCTGCGCCTGCACCGCGCTCAGCCAGTGAGCGGGAACCGGTCTCCACATGGGATCCGAACCTCAGAGGGAGTGCCGCCACGCTCCCAAGCGGCGCACTCTCCAGTGCGCCACCGGGCCAGCCCCCCCTTGTCTTTTCTTAATAGCATGTCACACCTGCCCTGGGGGCTTTTTTGTTTTTCTTTCACGTCTGCTGTCTGCATGTAGTCCATACCTTGGGTTTGTTTGGGTGTGCCAAGCGTGAAGTGGCAGTGATTGGGGAGCCAAAAATGTCACTGGTTTTCCCTCCAGGTGGGTTCAGTTGCTGTCGAATCTGCATGGGAGTTGATTCGTCAAAGATACCACTTCCTTTCCCCCCTGCAAAAACAATCACAGACCATTCAGCACCGAGAACATCCATCTGATCCCACCTTACACACCTGTCACTTCAGAGACCTCCTCTCACAGTAGCACCCTAGTGCCAGTCCTGAGTTGATTTAGACTCTAAATCCCTGAAGACCTACCTACATCAATCCCAACCCCTTTACCTGGGGCCTGCTGTAGCCTTCTCATCTGGAACTCAGCTGACCTGGGCTGGGCCTCTAGAGGTGAAATGGCATAAAACAGCACATTTTCCCTCAAGAATTTCCTTCAATCCAAGTATTTCATACTTTCCTACTGAAGAGTCTTCATTAAACCCAGGAAAAGTTCTTTAGTAGATTAAAAGCAAACAAATAAATGTTTAGGTCATGTAACAGAGTTCTGAATTTAATAATATGCCCTATTCAAGGGAAACCTGTAATTTGGAAAATAACATTTGTTAGTCATTCTGTTCTCATTCTGGCAGGAACTTCCAGTGATAACTAGGTGTATCAGAAAATAAGAAGCATGTAACATCTCTGCCAACTATAAGTGACTTGGTAAGCTGTAATAAAAACGTGTAACTCAGGTGTAACTCCTTATAAAACGGGGATGAAACACAAATGCCTATGTTAAGCAGAAAGACAGCTACTGTGCGATACCAACTGATCATCTCTTCACTCAGCAAACATGAGGCACCTACTCTCTGCAAAGCACCAGGCTAAATGGACATGGGTGTCATTAAAATCGTAGCCCCACTGCACCAAGAATTCATAATCCATAGGAGTAAAGAAGAGGCAATCCACTAACTTGCTGAGTGACTGTGTGACAGTTACTGGCCTTTCTGTGCCCCAAATTCCTCATCTGTAGAATGGGGATAATAAAAGGACCTCCCTCATCCTTGTACCGGCCAGCTGCCAAAAATAAATAAATAAATAAAAATAAGAGGACCTCCCTCAGAGGGCAGCATGATGGTTCTGTGAGTTACTGTAGCTCACATGTCAAATGCTTAGAACAATGGCTGGGATATGAACACTCAAATGTCAGCCATGTTTTCTGTGTAGTGATTCTGGACATTCTGTTAAGTGAAAATGGAAAGGTGCAAACGATCTATATAGCATGCAGTGTTTTAATGGAAAAACGGGGGTGTTCTTATTTGCTTTGATCTGAATAAATAAAAGTGATTATTCCACCCCCCCAAACAAAGTGCTTACCTATGGGGGCTATCCATGTGTGCAATAAACAGGGCAGATGGAGTGCAGGGGCTTACGATTGCTTAACATGCACTTTTTTTTTACAGTTTTGATCTTTTGTATTTTCTGTTTTCAGAAAATTACATTTTAAACAGTTATTTCTTAGCTGGGATAACCCACACTGTTACAACAGAAGGACACGATCACCTCATGAACCATGCGGATTAAGGGTGCTGTTTGGGCTCATGAGCAGAGAAAGTTTGGCTGGGGTCTACCCTCTTGCTGGCCGCTGGTTGGGCACAGCCTAAAGCAGAGTGGCTTTCTGGGACACTAGTCAGCTCATAGGGGCATGGACTGCAGCTAACACAAGGGCTGTAATGGTAGGGTGAGGTCTCTGCTTTTGAGGTGATAGAACACTTAAGGACAGGTGGGACTCCCTCTGAGGAACCTACTGAACCTCAGTCACGAACCTCTATGATATCCACAGTCCCTAAGGGGGAAACCCTCAGCCAGGGAAACCAGCAAAGTGTGGTGGTAAGTACAGGCATTCTGTAGCAGACTGCCAGGGTCAGAGTCCCTGCTCCTTCAGTTATTAACTGTGTGACCTCGGACTAGTTACTTATACCTACTAGGGTCGCTGGTGAGGCTGAGAGTTAACACAGGTGAATGGTTAGAACAGTGCCAGCCTGCCGAGTAAGCCAGGAGCAGTGCTGCAGAGCTGTGTCAGCAAAGAGTCTGGACCACAAGGGGTAGAAACACTGCTGCTCAAGACCACCCAGACTGTGCTGTTCCTAGTGGTGCTAAGAGGGCTTACGTAAATTTTTTTTAAGCATGCATTCAGCTTTTTAAAAATGGAAGATAAAAGTAACTCAATTTGAAATTTTTGGCCAAAGACACTGCTACTCTTAAAAAGTTTTTTAAAACTATGAAACATAATGCAGAAAAGTGTGTAAGACATAACTAGCACAAATAATTACAAAGTAAACACCCAGTAACCACCACCCGAGTTATTCAGAAGAGCACCAGTTCCCAGAAACGCACTGTGTTTTCCCTCCCTCTCAGCCAAGGTCACCACGTTCCTGAGTTTCCTGAAAACTACAAAACACTTAAAAAAAAATGTATATATGTATATTTTTACCACATATATGTGCAACCTTAAAAAACTTTATAAAGAAGTGGGACTGGCCAGTTAGCACACTTGGGAGAGCGTGGTGCTGGCAACACCAAGGTCACGGGTTTGGATCCTTGTACTGGCCGGATGCCAAAATAAATAAATAAATTAAAAAAAAAAAAAAAAAAGAACCTTATAAAGAAGTAATCACACTGCATGTCTATTACTCAACATTTTACTTGAAAGATGAATTTGGTTTTCACTTTTCATTTGGCCTTGGATGAAGTTTAGAATTCAACTTGGAAGCAAGAAAAGATGTCTAAATTCACTCATAATTGAAGAAAAATAAATTCAAGATATATGTTTTAAAAACCAAATTGCAAAGATGAACGCTGTGTTAGTGAAAACAAGCATGCACACCCATTAAGGGTAAACACTGGGCAGCCTCTTTAAGGACCAGTCGGAGGTATCTATCAATACTTTAAATTTGTAACACCTCTGATCCGGCAATTTTATTTTGAGATATTTATTTCGATGGATATATTCAGGAGGTAAGTTTAAGCATGGTCTCTGCTGTCAGAAAACCCAGGTCCACAGGCCAGTTCTGCCACTAACTAGCCATGGAGCCTAGGCACACCAGTGAGCATCCCTAAGCCTCACCTTCCTCCTCTATAACAGGGGTAACACCATCCACCTCCTAAAGGTGCAGCGATGACCAAATGAAAAAATACAGGCAAAGCACTTAGCATAGTCCCTGTTAAATATTAAACAATCCATAAATCTCAACCATCATTGACCTAAACCAGGCAACTAACAAAGAACACAGACTGTAATGAAGATCAAATGAAAGCTGTGAATGGCCATCTGGTTGCAACAAGGTATGTTACACACTCTTTTCTCAATCAGATCCTCCAACGGGAGGGCTGTGGGGCTAAGTCTGAATGAAAAACTACAGAAAGGAGGGCAGGACTTCAGCTTGTGGGTGGTGGACAGGACTAGCAGTTTTCCCTTGCGGGCTTCCCTTGAAAATACATCACAGGCTGTTTTCAAAGAGCACCTGGGGAGATGGAAAACAAAAGCCAAAAAACACCCGAAGCAGGAACCTGGCAAAGGGAGGCACGGTGGTTGTGACTACACCTTGTGACCATGCACAACACAGAGGTTGGCTAACTCTCCAACCAAGGGCAGCTGGGGATCACGAGGTTTTGTGGGATGGGCAAAGTGGCACCGCCATGCTTCCCAGGGAACCCAGTACACTCCAGGGACAGCTCCAGACACACACTGCTGAGCCAGGGCCAAGTGAGCTGGCTCAAGCACTTGGAAGTGCCTTGGATTTGATCCTATCTTGCATGCAACGTACTATTCAGCTATCACCGGTACAAAGGAAGTGCAGGGCTGACTACATGTCTCTAAATTCAGTAACTGGATACACTGAGAACATTACTCACTTAATAAGAGCTACATGTTTCTCTACTATGACTATATCCACTACCACCCCTGCCCCTGACAATAAATAAAAAAACAGCTTTTGAATCTACTGCTTTTTCCCCCTCTACATTTGGTCAAGGAATATTTGTACCCAGAATTTGGACAAGGCAGGGAGTAGTCCTAACCCTAGTTCTGCTTGACTTGTTACCTGACATACTGATTCTGGTGTATAGCCACTCAGATCTTCTAAGGATGGGACACACCGTGCTTTCCCCTCGTGGATACAGATGGGAAAGCTCCTCAAGTGACTGTCACTCTGTGATTACTCAACTGGAAAGTCTATCAGCCAAGAGAAATCTTTCGCAACAGACTCTTTCCCACTGTTACGATTAGAAGCAAGTTCTAGTGAGTTTTGAAGAACCGTACAGATATGTGCCAGACCAATTCTTCCATTTAGAGTTTCAGTCCCACTGAAATCCAGTTAAAAATGCTCTCTGTCCCTAAGAAGTGTTTAAATGCACAGTAATTTGCATGCAATTTCAGGAATCTCAAGGGCCCATGGGACAATTGGGAGAGCCTCCCTAGCAGGCACCAGAACCCCATCATCCACCTTTGTACCCCCAGTCCTTGTACTCAACCAATGTCTACTGAGTACAATTCAAGATGCTTGAGCCACCTTCAAGAGAGAATTCAAGCTGCTCAAGCCACTTTCAAGACAGAAAGTAAAAATCAGAAACCTTTATTTCATTTTAGAAAGCTGGTGACAAGAGATAACCTATCACAGAAAATATTTGAAAGAATCAACATAAAGAAAACGAAAATATTTTCAAAAGGACAGCATAAAAGAGAGTAGGTAGAGGCCAAAGGACTAAGGATTTACAAAGGCCCATACCTGGGGGATTTGTCCTCTTCGGTATGTTCTGAGGTTCTTCTATTGGTCCAAAAATATTAGACGCCATCCTATTAGGCCTGCTTGAAGGAACAGCTTCTTCTGGACTTCCAAAAACATTGCTTGATTCTCCTCCCGGGGGCTTCATGGCCCTGCAAGCACATAGCAAACACGAGCTAACCTGGATGCTTGTCACTGTGCAGGGGCTATGGCATAATCAGGCCAAGCAGAAGTATTTTCTTAACATCTATGGAGAAATCACACATCATAATCATTTAATACTGATACGAATAGTTTACAGACAGCCATATGACAAACTTCTTTTTACTGCCCTTAAGGTTCCTTTAAAAGTTTTCCTTATACATCTTGGTTATGACAAAAAATCTCTAGCAATTTGTATATTTTGAAATTATTCCTATGACCTCTCATGAGTAAAATTAAAGTTTTCCTAAAACAGGCAAATTGAGCCACATTTAGTACAGTTTAATACTAGCATTAATTAGTATACAGTAGTGTTTATAATACCATAAACACATTCAGTAGTGTTTAATACTGTGGCTTACATTTCTTAAGTACATACTACTTTTTAAATTTTTTCTTTCCTTTTTTTTGTCTTTTTTCGTGACTGGTAACGGGATTGCAACCCTCGGTGTCGCGCCCGCATGGTGCTCAACCAGTGAGCGGACCGGTCTCTATATGGGATCCGAACCCTCGGCAGGAGTGCCGCCGCACTCCCAAGCGTCACACTCTACCGAGTGTGCCACTGGGCCGGCCCAAGTACATACTACTTGCCAGATACTATTCAAAGCACTTTACAAACATACTACACTTACTTAATCTCACAACAACACTGTAAAGCAGGGATTATTTTCACAGATGATGAATCTGAGATAAGGAGAAATCAAGTAATTTGCCAAAATTCACACAGGAAGTAGTACAGCCAAGAATCAAACACAGGCAGTCTGGACCTGGAGCCTCGACTATACCTTAATGCCTGTCATGAAGGTCTCCAGAAGAGAACGAACCGAGGGGCTTCCACCACACACAAGGCTGGACCCGTGTGCTCTAGTACAAGAGCCACCAATCACCATGGCTACAGTGCACTTGGAAGTGGCTGGTATGGACTGAGATGTGCTCTAAGTATAAACCACACACTGGATTTCAAAAACTCGGCATGAAGAGAAGGCAAAATATCTCTGTAATCACATCTTTTATACTGATCCCATGTTGAAACAATATTTTGCATATATTCGAGAGATTAAAATCTCTGAAAATTAATTTTTGATTCTTATTACTTTTTAAAATGTGGCTACTAGAAAACTTAAGATTCCATATATACCTGAAATTTCTACAATATGGTATTGGCCTAGACCATGGGAAGTGCCACCAACATTAATCCAAATGAGTCCTGGGAAATCTACATTAGGATAATCATCTCTGGTCCTGAAGTCTGGTATAGCCAGTGAAACACTGAGTATCAAAAAGATCAAAGAACAAATTTATGAGCACCACTGTTCATTTTAGATCAGCACATATGGAATGAGTGTCTCCTCTAGAATACAATGGCATTCTACAAACCCTGATTTTAATGAAGCACCCATGAAGAATGTGGTCTTTCCACCGCTCAGTTACAAAGAGCAATATCTGAAGTCCCGATCTTTGGGAAACTGTGTCATGCACAATTTGGAAGTTTTAGAGTGGACGTAAAGTAGAAAGACCAGGACCGTGAGAGTTTTATTTCAACAACTGAAGAACTAAGGAACTGTCACAAAGCTCTGCCATGAAACCCCCAGAGCATCAGTCTACATGAGCAGAGCACTGAAATGCTGAATTCAAATGCATCTTTCTAGAACATGTGAAAAGTTTTTAAAAATGCATTTTAGGGAGGGGCCTTGTGAAATTGAGTTTTAAAATTGTGAGTGGCCAATACTCTCTCACCATCCTAAGCATGATCACAGACATTTAGAAATACTTAATGATGTTACAGGTCTGAACACCACATAAAAGCTAAGATTCAAGGTCAGGCCTCACTGGAAAGATAAGCAAACACTGGCCACTCAAGGGTTAGTTAAGAGCTAGCAAGGGAGGTGACCGTACACTGTGGTTTGACATGAATGAAGTTTTCAAATGCTCTTGCTGCGGGCCGGCCCGTGGCTCACTCGGTAGAGTGCGGTGCTGATAACACCAAGGCCGCGGGTTCGGATCCTATATAGGGATCCTATATAGGGATGGCCGGTTTGCTCACTGGCTGAGCATGGTGCTGACAACACCAAGCCAAGGGTTGAGATCCCCTTACCGGTCATCTTTAAAAAAAAAAAAAAAAAATGACAAATGCTCTTGCTGCAATGGAGGATGGCGGGAAGTGAAGAACTCTTTTGATTTACAGACGGTGGACAATGTGCCAGCCACAGCCTGAACAGAGACCACAGGCTGGCTGGTAAACACTGCAGAGGCCAAGCACGCATATCAGCGTCCCTGTCTGCTCAGAAGGATGGGGAAGACCACGCACCAAACTTTCATACTCAGCAGTTAACGCTTCCTGAAGGATATGATGAAGAAGAAAAAAAAAATCAGTTCAGAAAAAATATTCTTATTTTAAACAACCAACAACCTAGAAAGAGCTTAACAAGATCTTGGGTCAGGCACTTTGTTGGCGGACACGGTGAGGCCATCTGACTTCTGTACCATTTATAAGTCATATATCCCTGGTTATTCTCTGTATTTTTCTTGGCTGGTTGCAGCAAGTCTAACATGCTTGGGTCTCCACAGTCATACCCTCAAGAAAAGAGGATGGAAATCTATAACCTTTAGAAATGAGCTGACTTTAACATCAAAGATCATGCCAGCTTGAATTAAAATTCCTATTTTGCTAACTTATTTGAAACATGGCTCTTCTTTTAAACTGTCAGGGTCCTGCAAATTGTCAGATCAGATTCAGGGTAGACGAGTCTCTCCCAGACTTTCCTGACCCCACACTCTACATACCCAGAGTCTCCCAAGCCTGTGCCTCTCACTCTTGCTTCAGTTTAACTCACACAGTTCCTGAGCACCTATCACTAGCAGCCCTGTACCAGACCCTGCAGAAGTGAAGATGAATGAGTAATGCCTTGGCCTGGAGGAGCTTAAAGTTTAACTAGAAAGAGAGAGCTACGTCTGTGAGTAGGTGGCTTCCCGTGTTCCCTGAACGATATGACAGAGGCACTGGGTGCTACTGGAGCTCCAAAGATGTCTCTAGAAGAGGTGTGGCCCATGTTGAGTCTGTAGTCTCCCTGTGGAAAGGGCACCATCAGGGCACAGGAGGTCAGCAGTAATTATTTGAAATGACCAAATGTTAATTTTGGGTGGTGGAAATACAGTATTTATTTTATTTAGTGTACTCTTCTAAAATTTATTACACTTGAAAACAAGTGAAGAAAGAGAGAGTGGTGCTATAGAATGTTCTAGTGGAGATCATGACGTGTAAGGCACAGCCATCCGGCAAGGGGCAGTGGTCATTGCCATCTCAAAGACAGCAGGGTGGCCCTTCAGGTCCCACAGTCTCCTGCATCCACGCACATCCCAAGGCTGCCCCAAAGGGTCTGAAGTAAGTGGGGCCGAGAGTTCAACAGACCTTCCTATAAAAACAGAGCCCACAGTCATGGTGCAGTGTGGCCTTCTCCATGACACTAATCCCGGGGAGGAGAAGGCGGATGCTGGCAAGCTCTGAAATTTAGGGCCAAACTCACAATGTGGGGGTACTTCCCAATTATTTTTCCCTTTTGTCGTATCCTTTCAATATACTTCAGGAAAGATACTCCAAATACCCTAGAATGCTAAAGGGCACGTGACAAGAAGGACCCTCAGCTCAGGTGGACCGCAGCCCGAGGGAGCAGAGGATCTCGTTGGGCGCTCGAACGCGCCCTCCAATAGCTTGTCCGCCTGTTCGGAGAAGCCTTCAGGGACTGATGGAGCTCGGAGAAAAGTAGTAGAGACAGGCTGGGTTACTCCCTACAGAGTGAGTTTCTCAGCTTAGAAGGTGTCAGACTGACGCGGCTGAAGCGCAGCGCGGGTACAGTGCAGGGACCGACACGCGCGACACCTTCAGGAACTCAGGGGAGGCCGGGGCCCGCACAGGAAGCCGGCGGGGATCCCGCCGAACCCTCCGCCGACCCCGCCGAGCCCACCGGACCCCGCCGGAAGAGCCGCGGCGCCGACCCACCCCGGCGACGCAGACAAAAGGCCCGGCGGCCGGC